TTCGAAAAGAAACTCATTTCCAAATCAAAATAGTCTAGAAATAATTGAATTATAATTATTCTTTATTTGCATGATATTTCAACTTTTCATTTATTACAATTTTTGTCATTTTGGGTTACTGTCATTTCTCCTAATTATTTTCATTTGTTGTCACTTTCACTGACTGCATTTTTAACTTTAAGTTTCATTTTCTTTTTATCTATGTAGTTATTGTCACTATTCATAGTATTTTCGGTTTTACTGGAACTTTTATAAATTATCTTACTATCATTTATATTTACTCTTACTTTCGGTGGTGATGTAAATTTCTGTTAATACTTTATTTCACTGTTGGTATGCCCCCCCCCAAGTGGTTCGGCGGCAAATCTGGAGGCTTATAACGCTAAAAACCGAGTTTCGATACCCGTGTTAGGTACAGATAGTCCTTTGTGATTAACTACACACAAACAATGTTGCTATGCTGATATTGAAATTTTTATATCTTTTTACAAATATTTCTAACTTGTATTCCTTTGTTCGTACTTTACATCACCGGACTGTGGATCTGAGGTTCGAGTTACTGCTAAAAAAAATCGCGCTCCACATTTTGAGATCGTGGATGCGTTCAAAAAAGTAACAGTCAACAATCGAATTCATATCGGAGAGTTGTTTACAACGGTCTTTTGTAATCAACATTTTCAATATTTGCACCTTCTGCAACATACATTTTTAACCGATCTAAAGACAATATCCTAGATAGAGCTACGTATAGCTGACTGTGAGAAAAATTTGGCTTAGCTAAATACGACCCCGAAGGAGAGTTTGTTTTGTTCAGAATTTCGCGCAAAACTACACGAGAGCTATCTGCACTAGCCGTCCCTAATTTAGCAGTGTAAAACTAGATGGAAGGCAGCTAGCTATCACCATCCACCGCCAACTCTTGGGCTACTCTTTCACCAACGAATAGTGTGATTGACCGGAAAATGATAACGCCCCACAGCTGAAAGGGCGATTATATTTGGTGGGACGAGGATTCGAACGCGCGACCTGCAGATTGCGAGTATAGCGCCCTAACCACCTGGCCATGCCAGGCCGTGATGTGTTTTGAAAAGAGTTTTTCTTGTAGTTAAATAATTTCCAAAATTGTCCATTTTCAGAAACATAGACCACTTAAATTGAGAGGCGACACACCGTGGGTGATTCACAAAGTAACAGTTCTGTCAAATGAAAACTATTGACCACGTTTTTTGACACCTTTATAGTTAAAACATTTACTAATTTTACGCTCAATTTTTAAGTTTAGGCGTTTTAAAGTAAAATAAAGTATTAGTATTTAACAAGCTCTGTGTAACTGAATACTATATTAAAAACAACAAAAAATATGTATGTATATATATATCCAGACTTCCTAAGAGTGAAAAGTAATTTTGTGAAATCAACAAGAGTGCAATGAACATCTCATCTTTTCAGCTATAAGTGCCCCCTACTGGTACTGTTGAGTGTCAAGTTTTAATGACTGCATAAAATATGATATGTAAATTAACTTATTCCACATGTTTGAGCAAGCGTGTCAAGAATGTATTTGATATAGAAATGGTGTTATTTTACACCATACCAAGTTTTTGCTGTTCAAAACTCATCACCTAGTGATAGATAATTAGGTATAAGAATAAACAAACGGATAGATTAGTAAACAAAATAGTTTACGTAACCAGCAATCACACAGAGGTTAATTAAATAGACCGAGGCAGGCAAAGTGACAGAGAAATAAAATAAGAAAGCAGGACAAGAAAGTAATGGAAGAGAAGATAGAATGCTTTCATTGAATTATATTCTAGAGACCAAAGAGATATTAATGATTTATAAAAATGAAGAGATAGGTAGATATGTTTATTTCTTTAACCTTCTTAACTACTATATATATATATATATATATTAGGTTCACAAGTATATTATACGTATATATACAAATACACACAGAGATAGATCTAGATATACAATTCATATCACCCTATACGACTTAAAACAACTATAAATTACATATTACTAAGTTTAAGAATTATATTGGAAGTTTCCAGAATATGCAGCTCTCGTGTCAATTAAAAGAACTACTTTGGAGATGACGTTTGCTTTGCTGTGACAAAGTTATTATGTCAGACTGCCCTGAAAAACAAACAAAACAAATCATTCTCATCAATACGTTATTTGTCACCCCATATTCTTTAACTGGTGTAGTTTTTAAGTCACTTTTAATTTCTGAAGTAGTATTTGCCGAACCTTGACCATTTGTTTTAAACATCACACTTAAGAATAAAGCGTGAGATTTCTAAAAAAGTGTTTTAGGTATGTTAGGCTTCGTGTAAACACGTTTTTGTTTTGTTTTTTAAAAGTAAGTATTAATAGACGTGTTTTATGTCAAAATATACAGTTTTAGTCTTAAGTGAAAATTGAAATAATGTTTAGAGTTTCTTAATAAAGCATCATGTAAATAAACTGGTGCATATTTTATATAACTTAGGGTTGTAGATTGATACAGTAATACTATGACTTATTAAGTTTTATTTAACAAAGACAACCCACAGGAAAAATATTTTCCTCACACCTAGAGAATTTCCTATATCTATTTTAGAATTTCATATGTAAATAATATATATATATGTGTGTGTGTGTGTTTCGTGGGTAATAAATACTCTTTTGAGCTATTTTGGGCCAACACTGGGTGACATCTGGTGAGAAAATTTTGTAACAATCTATTTCCAGTAATTTACTTGGTTAAAAAATGTAAATTAATTAAATATCAAAACACTTTATAGATATTTGATATTTCTCTTAAATTTCTGGTATTTTGAGATGTTTAGATCGATATATTTTTTTAGTTCAGATTTTGAGCAAATATACCTTCGTTGAAAAGTTTTTGGAATGTTTCTACTTTATCATGATTACTACCATGGGTACCGTGGTCCCTTAATAGAGCAGCAGCTAGTTTACGAATTTTTAAAATGCTTTATCACGATGGGATTCTTTATTAATTTAAGGATTATGAGCTGTGGGTTAGTTAGCCCAGACTGAGTGCTTGTAAATCGGACACATTTCTCCTAAATGACCAAGAATCAGGAGTCTTAGAGTCGTGTTTTGTTGTACACTTGAAAGACAAGAAAATGTCCAACTACTAAGCAGAAGTAAATGAAGGTTATGAAGTTAGGTAAAACGTTAGAGATGGAATTATTAGTGCCTATTTTTATTTTATTCAACAAGTTTTTAGTAATGTTTCAGTAAACGTCGTTAGGTTCAGGTGATTCCTACGTTAAATTATTTTATTTTCTGACCATCCCCCATTCGTCATTTTTAAGAAATTGAGATATCTGCAATATAGCCTCAAATTTGCTGAATAAAAAATTATAAAAATAAACATCGAGAATTCATTGATAAACTTTTATTACCTATTAACCCTCGTTAGCCTTTAACAACAACATGGCTTTTTCATCTTCGAGTTCGATTAGGTAAACAGTTTGAATATCTTGAGTCTTATAAAAAGGATTAACGGTTTCTTGTCTATTTGTTGGATTTCACGCAAAGACACACGAGTGATATCTGAACTAGTTATCCCTGATTTGGAAGTGATAGACTAGAGTGAGGGGCAGCTAAAGAACATCACATACCGCCAAATCTTAGGCTATTCTTGTTAGACCGAATAGTGGGATTTTATCGTTACTGGTCTATCAGTTCAAAATTAGAGACAGCTAGTGCAAATATCTCTTGTGCAACTCTGCCCAAATTCCGACACGAACAAATTTAACTGGATTTCTTTCTTCGTATGTTTTTCTTTGTAATTTGGTCATTTATATAGAGCTTAACTTCAGAAAAACATTATAAATGCAAGTAAATACGTACAACACACCAAAATTTTAAAATCGAGATAATGTAGATGACGCTGATATCACCCGGGAAATTTATACTGCCTTGTAAGTTTGGCGTTTGCTTATAGTTATTATATATTTCAGATTTTTAAAAATAAAAGTTACTTTGCTGAAAATTTTGACTCAGGTTTGTATTCACTCTGTTTTTAAATAGTTATATCTCTAAAATGAAATATTTGAAATGAAAAGTAATTAACCTAGCCAATGATCTTTAATCAATTAATGTTATAATTGTATATAGCTAATGTTATAACGTTTTTTCTAAAGTTAAAAAATTTAAAATCGAAACCTTGCAAGTTAAATCAAAATACTAGTTCTGTTGAAGTTTGAACAGGTACTATCTTTGATAGAAAAAATTAATGTAGCATGGAATAGCTCACGCTACTACAAACAAGCACACCAGTCCATATGGCATAAGTTTATAACGAAAAGATAAGTTTCTATATAATAATATATAGATAACAATTTAGAGGCCCAGATCTGGATTTACAAGTTGCTACTTTTTTCCAATCCTCACCTGAATAAAGTTGCCTCTAAATTCTAGTATTAATACTGCTTGATAGTGTAGTTCACAAATAATACTTTAAACAAGGGATTCTTGTACTGTAGCAACCATTTTTCACATTACTTCTAACTTAAGAATTCCTCTCTTGTTTCTAGAATGTGATATACTTTAATCTAAATAAATAAAATTTGTTTTGGAAATTATATTTCTGAGAAACTCAAATTTTCATAAATATAACTTTTTGATTAAAACCCCATGAAATTGTTGTGGCATTTCAAACTTTCATATAGCCCTAAGATGAGACTGTTAGTGCTTATTCATCACTTCACAAAAGTCAGAATTGTCTTTCCAAAAATTAGTAGAATTTTTACAAAATAACCATGTACACTGTGTAGAAAATGTTTTCATGTTTTTTTTTATATACAGTTTTTCCTGAAAACTAATGTTATTTTTTACAAAATGAAGCTCACACTTGAAAAACTTGGATAAAGTCTTGCATTTATAGCTTTTATACCTAAGAGTAAACTTGGTCTTAATTTGTATACGTACTTGTGATTTGTATTTATTTTGTAAAATCAGTATTGGTTGCACATTTTCAGATATGTGTACATTTAACGAAATGAAGTTGTCACTCTTTTTGTCATAATTTTTTACATTTTGTTAATCGAAGTTTTTAAGTAAATATTGTCATTTGAGTCTAGAATTTAAAAAAATGAAGACTGTTCACAAGAAATACTTACCATTGAAAGGAAAGATTATATATTTTGATTTGAGATCTGTGCAGCAGAAAAAGCAATTGAGTGAATTGTTTCAACATCTAGGAGGGGTAAGTTAAATTTTATATTATTTTAGAACATGTTTACATTATGAACAGAAAAGAAACATATTTGGTTTTTAGCCATTTTTGGGAAAATAAAATGAATTATTACAGAAATAATTACAAATCTTGTTTCTTACACAGTGTGTTAATAGATAAAAGAAATTACAAAGGCTTCATTAAATCTGATTTCATGTTACTACTGTGCTTGTAATATTTTTCAAATCTATTAAAAAGCTTTACACTTTGGGCTACTTGTAATTCTACGTTTCACATCTGCAACTGTCAAATTTAATTACATTCTGAGATAAAATACAAGTAGTATTTGTAAATTTTATGAGTGCATGAAAAACTTACAAAACACATAGTACAGCCTAATGATTTAAAAGTAGTTTATGATTAATGTTTGGTCAATGAATGTATTTACAAACTATTTCAATAAGGTCTTTCCAAGCTATCATTATTTTTTTAAGTAGAAAATAAAAAAAAACAGACTGGTTTCAGAATGAATTTGTATGGTTCATTTCTGTATTTCCCATATAAGTGGTACAAGAAATCAGAACAGAAACTGACTACAAACTTTTTGTAAAATTATATTTAAATGCAAATTAGTTATTATCTGTATAAATCTAGTGGTTGCTTTGTAAAAAGTAGCCAGGTTTGGATTCGTATTGTACTGGGAAAAATTTCCAGTTTCTGGAACATTCTAACACCACTGTCTTTCTCAGTCTATGTTAGCCTGCAGAGTAATGTTCAGTACATAGCTTTGTAAACCGTCATATTTACAGTATGTATATATGGTTCATTAGACATATAAATACCGATTCTAAAGATACTTGTTTGGTGTTGCTTGTGTTCAAAACATTTGCTAATTTCTCTACAATTTTTATTAACCATAAACAAAGAACCCACAGTAAATAGAACAAACTGTCAGAAGTTTCTTCTGTTTTCTGTAGTTTTTTTTGTTCTGTAACTTCTACATATGATATTGTGTTATTTTATGATTTTATTAACCATGTTATTCATTTGTTATAACATTCATCTACAATGTATTGCAGCATCTTATATTGGATGTTCTACTAATCGTGTGACTATTGACTAAAATATATTTATGTAGACTCTTGATCTCTGTATTAATTCTAGTGTTCATTCTTTTTTGTATTGCACAATATTTTATATTGTTTTTATTATGGTTTATTTTCCTTTTCATGAACAAAAAAGTAAGCATTTTATCATCAGTTATGTCATAACATAATAATGACTATAATATAAAGAATTAATTGGAAAATTTAATTTTGAAATGTGAAGTTGTTTAATGGGGGGCCGAAGGTCACCCGTTTAAACCACTCATGCCACTGTGCAGTAGTGTGTTGTCTGTCAAGCAGTCAGTAGACACTGATGTCATATAAGGGACGTTTAACATTGCAATGAATCACAAGAAGAATTATGCACTCTGTACTCTATAACACAGCATGACATAGGAACTTCAAAAGCAAGAAATAAAAATATTTGTTACTCTTAATTTTGGTTTTACTTACTCTTAAAACACAACACTTTTGAGAATTCTACAGAAATACATCTAGTTATATATATATATATATATTTTTTTTTAAGAAATCTTTTTTTGTTTGTAGGAAAGTCTTAGAATGAAAATATTCTCGTTTCACAGCAGTGAAATGTATGTTGATAACACAAGAGTAAGAATGTTTAGAACTGTACGTGTATTCGTGTAGACATGTTTCAAAAAACTGCAAACAGAGAAAGATGAAGTATGTGATGATTATTATTTAGATAGAGGAAGAGTTTTTAGTCAAAGAGATCAATTATGTGGTAACTGACAGAAAACAGAAAATCACAGGCAACAGTAGTCAAGAAGATCAGTCTCCTGTAGCTTCAATATCAAGTCCATTTGGTACAACTTCTGCTGGGTAAGAACCTTGTAATTATACATATTATTCTGTATTTCTTATGGAAAGCTGAATAGGAGTTAATGATTGCAAAGATAATAAAAGTATTATTTCTGCTTATTACTTAAACTTTTAGCTTTCAGTTCTGTGGAGATATTGCCAAAATTTTAATCTTATACTAAATCATCAAAAAGAAAGCAAGGTTACAGAAAGTCCACTCAGCTCATTGGTTTCACCCACATTCACCAAAACTCGAAATCAAGCCATTCACACCCATAGGCTTATCCAGCAAAGATTTAGAATAATTTAATTTAAATGCACTTCCTAATCATCAGGTAAACTATTCCATAAACTTATAACTCCTTAACTGAAAAATATACTTGTCAAAAAATGCATATGGGCTTCCCAATTTTAAACTCTGATATTCATCCCAGTAGTTCCAACTTTTTTGTTGTGTCATCCAAGAATTTGATAATCCTGAGTAATTCACACACAGATTTCCAAATTTGGACACAAAAATTATGTTATATGGGTACATTCGTGCATAGAAATTTTGGTTCACGTGCATTCAAATATTTAAAACATACATTACCTTTAGTGTTCTAACATTGTTATTCATTTTGGAGTAATCACCAATATCAAAGACATTTACATTTTGAGGCAGGTCTTAGGTACGTGTATACATTCCAAATTGCCTTGACCTTTATAAACAGTAGTTGAGTTCTTGGGTGACAAATTGTCTCTCACTGTGCAGAGACATCAGTCCCACAACTTTCAATGAAATGAAAGAGCTGTTGAACTGATTGGCATATTCATGGATGACCTGTTCATTGGTCATTTCTGATTAGTCCAGCCTCCATACCTATACAGTTTGAAATCAAAAGAAACACAGATTTAATATAATTTCGAGCAGCTTGTTTTTAAGGAAATCAATAACTGATCATGAGCTGTTACTTGTTGCATCTTTGAAGACAACTGATTATCAGCAGTCAGCTTGATGGTTACATGGAAGGATGCCTACTTGGACCTGTAATTATTAAATAATGATCTCGCACACTGGTTTTTTTAAAGTGGTGAAAATTGATGACTTTTACCAGTTTCAAAGTGAGTGTTTGACAGAGCATGACACAATGTCACAGACATTATTTTCACTCATCACAAAGCTGTTGTCATTGTTATTAAGCACAAAACTACACAAAGGGCTATCTGTGCTCTGCCCACCACGGATATTGAAACCCAGTTTCTAGCAGTATAAGTCTGCAGACATACCACTGTGCCATTGGGGGTGGTGACACAAACATTAATACACCTACATAAATAACATCGTATCACTATGACATGAAGGTAAGATGTAATTGTTACAGGAACCATCTGTAGCATCCCTAACTTTGTCACTAATAACTTAAGTGTTCACCCTCAGAAGTTGAATTGCAAGTGTTTCACCTCATTTCTGAAATCCTGTGGAGATCCTTATGTCGTTTAATTAAACAGCTACTCATTGGAGAAGTATCTAAACACCTAATCTATTTTAAACCAGTTTACATTTTAGTATCTCTGTTTCTGCACGTTTTCCTGCATGACGATATATTTCCCGTAGTAACGGGACAAAAACTGTGATAATCAGAGTTGTTATAGAGTGCTTTACAAACTGTAGTAAGTGAATTAACCCTTTATATAAGTTGTTAAGAGCACTCACTTTGCATATGAGAAGTCTCAGGTTTCATATCGAGTTCAGGAAATAGA